CTGCGGTCCCCTTTCCAGCCCGGCCCCCCTCCTCAGGCTGTTGGGGAATTTCCTGTGCTGTGCGGTGGGGCCCAGGTGTTCCCCATCGTGTGTTTTCATCCTCTTCCCGGGGCCCAGCCTGAGAACGGCATTGTCACTGTTCCCGGGGAGTCACGGCCGGAGCAGAGTTTGTCCCCGACTTCCCACCACCCTTTCGGAGGGCAGCGGTCCTGCCTGGCCCTTGGGCCTTTGCCTCCCCTGGGAAGGACTTGGGTGGGCTGTGGGCTGGGCTTCCCAGAATTCTTGTTTTGTTTTTTGTTTGTTTGTTTTTGAGACAGGGTCTCAGTATGTGGTTCAGGCTGGCCTTGAACTTGCAACGATCCTCCTGCCTCAGCTGCCTCAGCCTCCTGAGTGTTGGGATTACAGGCATGCGCCACCACACCTGGCGCTTCCCGGAATTCTAATCCGAGGCTTCATGCAGCCACTAGTGCTTCTACAAACAAGTCTGGCTGCTGTCTGCATAACCCTGCCAGTGAAAGCAGGACAGCCATTGTCTCTTCTAAAGGTCTTGCCATTTTCTAGAATTGAATTTATTTAGACTTTTGTGTACCCTTGTCCCCCTCACTCGCCCACCGCACAGGCTGATCTCAAGCTTCCCCAAAGTCATCCTGCCTCAGCCTCCTGAGTGCTAGAATTACAAGAACATTCTATCATGCCTGGCCTTCTGATTTTTTTAAACTATGGTTCTTGCAGCTTATCTGTCTTGGCTTGATTTTACTAACTCCATGTGTAAGTTAAGAGATCTGGGGTCTTCTCCAGACTGGAGAAACTGGTTGGACAGTCAGAGAGCCCAGCATTTCTGGGTCTCAGTTCCTCCTCAGGAACGTGAGTGGCTCAATTCTGATTAGAATGCAGAAAGTTATAAGTTATCAGTGCTCTTGCCCTATACATTTTTTTTAAGCTTGCAAGCATTTTGTTTTTTGGTACCAGAAATCGAACGCAGGATGTTGTGCTTGCCAGGCAGGCACTTGTGCCGCTGGGTTATATTCCTGGCCTCTTGCAAGCGTTGTTGAAGGCTGACAAAGATGAGAAACAAAGAGTTCAGGATATGCTGCAGAAGTTGTGTCACTCTGAATCATTGTTTAAAAGTCAGGGAATCCCCACGGGGTGTGGTGGTGCACACCTGTGACCCCACGCTCCTGAGGCTGAGGCAGGAGCGCGATTTGAAGGCAGCCGGAGCAGCGCAGTAACCCGCTGCCCCCTGGCTCCCATCAGCCACAGACGTGTCCAGAAAGGCTCTGGGGGCAGCCTGGTGTACTCCCCTGCCTCCCTTTTTCCCTCTCTCCCAGGCCTGGCTGGGGCAGCAGCAGACCCGCTCTGCTTCGGAGTCTGTGAGGGCTGACTGCGCGTGTTCCGTGGGCTGGCTGTCCGTGGTTCAAATCCGGCTATCAGATGGTGGAGATGCCCTGTGAGTGACACGCGTGTGTAAGAGGAAGCGACAGGCTGGCGTGCGTGTTTCCCCTGTGAGTGGGTGGGCAAACTGCTCTGCCGGCAGGGTTGGGTATGCGCCACAGGGTGCCTGGAAAGCTGGGAAGAGCTGTGTCTAGGAACGGGTTTTTTCCCTCTGCTGGGCATTGAATGCAGGGCCTTTGCCCTCAGCTACATCCTCAGCCCTTTATTTTATTTGTTCTGAAACAGTTTTGATAAGTCAAATCACTGAGGTGCTCAGGGTGGGCTTGAACTTCCATGTACCCTCCCCAGCCTTCGAGAGTGCACAGTTTCCTGTCGGGGACCCAGCAGTACTGGGCGGCGGGGAGAGCGGGACCTGGCTGGGCAGGGGGAGGATGCATGGGTGACTTACGCACTTCAGCAAGCGTGTGCAGTGCTGGCTGTGGAGCCGGAGCCCCGGCCGCAGTCCTGTAACTGAGAGCAGCAGGAACATGTGGCTGGGAGGAGAGGGTTAGAGTGAGGTTAGAGGTTCGGACGGTGAAGGACAGGTGCAGGAGTGGGGCCAGAGGAGGGGAAAGATGGGCGAGATGCAGGGAGCAGGAGTCAGCACAGCACCTTGCGCGTGGCAAGCAGTCACATTTTACTGAGAATGGTGCGTGGAAGGATTAAATCTCTTTTAGACAAATCTGGTACAGCTAAGCAAAGCACACACTGATAATCCCAGCACAAAGGAGGGTGAGGCAGGAGGATCTCTGTGAGTTTGAGTTCAAGGCCGGCCTGAACTACATAGTGAGGCCCTGCCTCAGAAACCCAGACCAAAACAAAAAGCTGTGATACACGTCTTGGTCCTACCACCCTGTGTGTGTTGGGGCTGTGGCTTCCCACGCCCTGGGGTGTGGGTGTAGCCCAGTGACCTCCCTGGTCCAGGATGCTCTGAGGAGACGGCTTGGGTGGGGTCAGGCACAGGGAGGTACGCCTGTGTTTCTCGGGTGCATGGCTGCGGTGTGGGATGGTGGCATGCGCAGGACCTGATGGTAATGTCCGTGCTGTGGGCTTTGGGGCAGGCTCTGGTTACTGCTGAGGAGCCTCCATCCCCCTGTGGTCAGGACTGTCCTTTTCCAGCAGCCCTCGAGGGCAGTGCTGCTGCACGCTCTGTCCCCATCAGGATATGGGCCTCTGGGAATGAAGGCTGGGCAGCCGGAGTGGGGGCCGTGATTGGAGCTGGTACAGCAGGAGGCACCCCTGGGCTGTCTGCGAGACTCCAGAGCCTGCTGGCTGGCTGGCGCCTACTCCATCCCGACACTGTCTTCGGGAGGAGCTGGAACTAGCAAGGGCGGGGCCCTCTAGGACGGACCCTCCCCTGGACTCCCAGCATTCCCAAGACACCCGGCAGCACAGCTGCTCCGTTGCTCTCCCTGTGCCTCCTGGACTGCCCTGGCTGGCAGTCCGCTGGGCCTGGGTCTGTCCAGTCTTGTTGCATCGCCCTGGTCCGGCCAGCTGCACAGTGAGGACCAGGGAACAAAACCGGTGAACCCGGAGACTGGCGCTCTCAGATCAGACGCTTAGAACGGGGTCTCTCCCGCGGTGCTGTCTGGGTTGCAGGTGGTTTGCTGGCAAATGCGAGGTGCCCTTTTTGAGACAGGGTCTCCCTATGCAGTTTAGCCTGGCCTTGAGCTCACTTTGTAGCCCAGGCTGGTCTTGAACTGGTGGATCCTCCTGCCTCAGTGATCCTCCTGCCTCAGCCTCCTAAGGGCTGGCATTACAGGTGTGCGCCACCACACCCAGCAAGAGAAGCTAGAGTTTTAAGTGTAGAGAACTAAACTTCAACATGTACGTGTGCCAGAAGCTGTAAACTGACAGCTTTTAAGAATTCTGTACGTTAAGGCACAAAAGTAGATGTGGACACATTTTATTTCAGAAAGACTAGAAATGTAAACGTTTGGACATCCTGGGGCCTTTGAAAAACATTGGTTTTCCCAGGATATTTGGGAGAGAACAGGAAAAATCAAGATGTATACCAAAGAAAAAATTGTATACATTAAAACCCTTTAAGGACTCATATTTATTTATTTGAATGTTTCAGTTTTTTAAATGATACTGTTTTTCTTTTCTTTTCTTTTCATTAAAACCCTTTAAGGACTCATATTTATTTATTTGAATGTTTCAGTTTTTTAAATGATACTGTTTTTCTTTTCTTTTCTTTTCTTTTCTCTTCTTTTCTTTTTTCTTTCTTTTCTTTCTTTATTTATTTTTTTGAGATAGGGTCTTAGTACGTAGTCCAGGACAGCCTGGAACTTGCTAGGTTCCTCAGGGTGGCCTTGAGCTCGTGATCTTCTTGCCTCAGCCTCCCAGAGTTCTGGGATTACAGACATACACCCCAAACCTGGCTCTACATAACTCTTTTAAGGTGTGTTAAACTTAGTGCAGAAGCTGGGTGTGATGGGGCATGCCTGTAATCCCAGCACTTAGGAGGTTGAGGCAGGAGGATTGTTGCAAGTTTAAGACCAGCCTGGGCTACAAAGTGAGCTGAAGGCCAGCCTGAACTGCATAGAGAGTCCCTGCTCAAAAAGACCAAAAAACAGTCTTACTGTGGAGTCCTACCCACCCCATTCTGGTAACTTCCCTTACTCCTCAAGGTAATTGTTATTATGAATTTGCTGTTTGTCTCATTTTTAAAAATATTTTTGCTACTTTTGTATGCAGCCATGAAGTAACATTATTTTGCATGTTTTAGAACCTGATTTAAGTAGTTTTAGCATCCATATTTCTGTTTACATTTAATTTTAGCTTAATGTAGGGGCTGGGGATTTAGCTCAGTGTCAAAAGCACCTGCCTGGCAAGCACAAGGTTGTGAGTTCGATTCCTGGTACTGGAAGAAAAACAAAACAAAACAAAATTTTAGCTTAATATATTTTTGGAGAGTTTAGCCATTTCTATTTATTTTTACTATCATATAGTATTCTACCGTATAATTTACTTCACTTTGAAAGTTTAGGTTGTTTTATGTTCTTGCAGTTATGAGAGAGAGGAGCTGGGGCCAGAGCTGGGGCCGGGACCGGGGCCGGAGCACTTACCAGGCAGGTGCTTGTACCACTGAGCTATATCCCCGGCCTCTGACTAATGGTGTATGAAAGGTCCCATTTTTCAGTATTTCTCTAGTCTTCATCGATGCCTCTGACAGTCGGGTGACATGAAACGCCTTTCCATGGGCTGTCTGTTGCATTCGCTCGTCAGTCAGGCTCACGCTCTGCAGAGTGACCTTATTTGTCGCACTGGGCTTTGTTGCATTGGAGAGCAATAGACATAGTTGAGAAGTAGACTTTCCTAGGTTCTTTTAGAGAAGTGTCCCTGGTGCTCTAGCCCTCAGAACTCTGGGGAGTTCTGTGAAGTTAGGGAGCGGCCCATACCTGGCAATTGCGAAGTGCCCGGCCCGGTGCCTGGGGTGGAGCATGCTGTGCTGGCTGAGGGTCGCCCGTCCTCAGCCACATGTGCACTTGGCGCCTGTGGGCGTCCGCCAGGGGGATCTCGTGCAAGCCCGCCCCTGCAGTGCTGACCTTCCCTTCTCTCCCCAGGGTGTAGCAGAGTAAGATGGACGGTAGCTTCGATTGTGATTGTGGTGAGCTGGAGCCGCCTGATCACTGACAAAGGCCACCTGCTGCCACCAACAGCCAGGGCTTCCTGTCGAAACAGACAGCGACCGGGAAGGACGAAGCCGCCGGACAGCGTGTCCGGCTCCGCGAACGATGCTGCTCAGGGCCAGTCCAACACTGAATGTACCTGCACTGTGAGGAGATGCCTCGACGCCGGTCGTGTGCATATTTATTCACACTTCTGTTAAATGTTCAGTCGTTCAGCATGGTAGATCTGAGTGCATAGTATGTCATTTCATTACGTTTGGGTTTCCTGAGTGTTTTTTTTAAATGTCTGCAGAGTTGCTGCCCCTTTCTTGAACTAGGGTTACTGCGATCTCTTTCAATCCTCGACATGAGTAGGGCTTTGTGAGCGTCACCCCGCGGGAGCTCTCGGCCTGGTAGGCACAGGCGATGAATGTCAGGAAGTCATCGTGTTGGAAAGCGTGACCCTTCCTCCCCTCCCTTGTGAGAGGCTTTCCCTGGATGCCAGTCTCTCCCTTGTTTACACAGGCGCACTAGCTGGAAAGGAGAAGGCAGTAGTCAGGGTTTCACTATGGCAGAGAAGTTCGAAAGTCTCATGAACATTCATGGTTTTGACCTGGGCTCTCGGTACATGGACTTAAAACCATTGGGCTGCGGAGGCAACGGCTTGGTGTTTTCTGCTGTCGACAATGACTGTGACAAAAGAGTGGCCATCAAGAAGATTGTCCTCACCGATCCCCAGAGCGTCAAACACGCTCTCCGGGAAATCAAAATCATCCGCCGGCTCGACCACGACAACATAGTGAAGGTGTTTGAGATCCTGGGCCCCAGCGGCAGCCGGCTGGCCGACGAGGTGGGCTCGCTCACGGAGCTGAGCAGCGTGTACATCGTGCAGGAGTACATGGAGACGGACCTGGCCAACGTGCTGGAGCAGGGGCCCCTGCTGGAGGAGCACGCGCGGCTGCTCATGTACCAGCTGCTGCGCGGCCTCAAGTACATCCACTCGGCCAACGTTCTGCACAGGGACCTCAAGCCGGCCAACCTCCTCATCAACACGGAAGACCTGGTGCTGAAGATCGGGGACTTCGGGCTCGCCCGCATCATGGACCCGCACTACTCCCACAAGGTGGGTGCAGGCCATAAGCCGCGTGGGTCCTCTTCCGGGGTCTGCGCGGGCTTAGGGTGAGGGGGTGGGGCTGGCTTCCCTCCAGACCCAGAGGTGCAGCGTGGTGTGCGAGAGCAGAGGTCTGGGTGTGAAAGGGCACAGTTACTTACTGCCGCCCAGTCTCGTGGTTGCCGAGTGGAATGTTTTCATCCATCGGGGCAGAAGTGTGGGCCTGCTGAAGGAAGGGAGTGCTGTTTTAGCTCGCAGGCCTCCCTGTGTCCTTCCCTTTTTTTTTTTTTTTTGGCCTTTTTGAGACAGGGTCTCACTGTGCAGTTCAGGCTGGTCTTGAGCTCAGTTTATAGCCCAGGCTGGTCTTGAACCCGCAACGATCCTCCTGCCTCAGCCTCGAGAGTGCTGGGGTTACAGGCGTGCACCACCACACCTGGCTTCCCTGTGTCTTTTTTTATTTTTGGAACTGGGAATCAAACTCAGAACCTTGCACTTAGCCCCCCTGTGTGCTTTTGACAAGGTTATTCTGTACTACGGCTAGGCCTTGTGTAAATAAACCGACTTGAATTTGAGATTGAGATTCAAATAGCTCATTGGCAGTTAAGTACTGATAGCCTGAAAGATTCTTAGCACTTCTCCTCAGACAGCTGCTTGCTTTTGAGTAAGAGTGGAAGTGTTTTCGAAGCCAAACCCTGGTCTTTGAGTTTTAAGCTGAAGTCTTTGATGGAGCTGGGAACTGCTTGCTTAGCCTTCCGCAGCGCACATCAGAAATACGTCATCACGGTATTTTCTCACAGTAGGGATATCCTTGGGTTTTTCAGGGAAACGTAGAATTGAGTGCTGAGCTGAGCTGAGTGCTCGAGGCCTCTTCATGGGGCGCTGTGGAGAGGGCAGCAGCGAGAGTCGGGCTGTTGCGCTGACGACTCCATTCCTAGCCCCGCGACCTCCCGCGGGCCTGTGCTGCACGCCAGCCCGTGCGCAGCATCGCAGGGGTGGAGTGAGGCGGCACAAGTGTGCTTGTCAGATGCTCTGGGTGCAGAGCAGTAAGAGCCGGAGCAGAAAGGCCGGGGCCCTGGAAGGGGCAGGCTGGCGCGGGGTGCCGCGCTGTGACCAGAAGCACGCCCGCCTCTTCATCTCATCAGGAGTGGAGCGCACACCCCTCTGCACCATCCCCGCCTGACATGCGGCCTTTGGGAAGGACTGGGTTGCTGTGCTTGTTTCCTGGTGGTTGCGTGGGTCGTCTGTCCTGGGGGAATGTGTAGGGACCTTGAAAATGGGCTGAGAAATCAACTGTATTGTTTCATGATTCCATAATTACTGTTTTCTGGCCTTGGTTCTTGAACTAAACTAAACAAAACAATGACAGCCCATTTTTTGTTTGCTTTTAGGGTCATCTTTCGGAAGGACTGGTCACTAAATGGTACAGATCTCCACGTCTCTTGCTGTCCCCTAATAACTACACTAAAGCCATTGACATGTGGGCTGCGGGCTGCATCTTTGCCGAAATGCTGACTGGTAAAACCCTCTTTGCAGGTGCGTGTCGTGTAGGAAAGAACTGTCCCGGAGAGAAATAACTTGGTGTTCTTTTAGGAGAGAAGGTTTATATAAGATTTACAGTAATTTATTGTAGTCTGGGGTGTTAACGTAAAAAGAGGGGCATGTATTTACCAAACGGCTGCTTCTGAAGTGTGGTCAGAGTGCAGAGCCCTCTCCTTCGCAGCCTCGTTGCGCTTCCACTGACTGCTGTCCGCGTTGGGCATCGATGTGTTGAGCGACACCTGTGCTGCAGTGGTCATTTCAAGCTGCAGGGTTGTTTTTTCTTTTCTTTCTTTCTTTCTTTCTTTTTTTTTTTTTTTTGAGGCAGGGTCTCACTGTGTATCCTAGGCTCACCTCGAATTCACAGCAGTCCTCCTGCCTCAGCCTCCCCAGTGCTGGGACTTTTCAGTTGTTAGAAATGCAGCAAATTTCTCTGGGTCCTTTCATCCCAAAGCTGCAGACTGAGGCCAGGTCAGTGGTAGCTGGAAGGCGGTGGAGGACGCCAGAGTTTCCACTGTTGTAGGAGAAGGGAAGCATTGTCCTCAGAGGTGAAGGCTGCAGCCTGGTGCAGGTTGGATGAAAGCAGGGTGTTAAGTCATAGTCAGGGTAGTTATGGCTGTTTGTGGCGCCGGAATTCCTGGGAAGTTTCTCAGGAAGTAGGCAGAGGGGCCCGCATTGGGAGAAGCAGGAGTCTGAAGGTGGTGTGGTCAGGCACAGACTTGGGTTTGCTTTTTCTCTTTGCACATCCTGCTCTCGCTCTGTCTCTTGGGCTGGTCCTCTTGCCACTCCCCGGGGTTAGCGGAAAGAAGTAGCAGAGCCAGGTGTGATGGCGCACACCTGTATCCCTGCACTCAGGAGGCTGAGGCAGGAGGATCACTGCACGTTTGAGGTCAACTTGGATGCATAGTGAGACCCTGTGGCAAAAAAGAAAAGACAAAGACTAGGACAGTGGCAGCATCTGTCGGGGAGGCTGCATACACCATGCCCTAAGCGGACCTTTGATGCTGCTGCTTGCTGCCAAGCCAGCTCAGATGGCACTGACTGCTTCTTTATCATTTCCCTGGGATGTGGATTTCACGGAGGACCACCTGGGCAGCTCTCCTTAAAAGAAGAGCATTTGGCCTTACTTCTGTGTGCTGACAGGTACAGAGCCTGCTAGGATATATCTTTATCCCCTCAACTGGCTTTAAGCAATGCAAATTGGTCCAGCCCAAGTGCTGATGTGCAGTCCTTAAAGCAATGGACAGGTCAGTGATGCCCCCGCTACAGCCCCCAATAACATGTATGAGCTAGGCTGAGAGACCCACGCTGTCAGCTGAGATTGAGCTTTAAGAAAGAGGCTGTGACACCTCAGGGCATGACGATTACAGATCAAAACTGAAGCACTGACCGCAAAACACTAGAGCTGCCCCAATCTGTGATACGCAGATTACCCTTTCTGCAGATTCCTCTCTGCGCACTGCCGAGGTGCTCTCAGGCCTCCTCCCTAGCCCAGCTCAGGCACTCACCTACTTCCCGCCGCTCGCGCACTCCCTCATCTCGAGCCACTCGCCTCTTCACGAGTTGATAAAACCCGAGTTCGGCCCTGGGTCGAGGCCTTTGTTCCATTAGCCATTATTCTGGCTGGACCTAGGAGCCCCACCATTTGATGTGTTTGGGTCTTTATTTGTGCCATGGGTTGCACTGGAAGTGGTAGATTGGAATTAAATTACTAGAATTCCAATACCTTGCCGCAGGGATTACAGATACAAACTTTCTGGATTGTGACGAGTCCAGAGAGGGCCCTCTATAACATTTAGAGAAAATGCCAGTTGAGAATCTAAACGATCAAGTAGATTGGATTTTTGTTAGGAACCATACTATGATGGGAGATTACACTTGAAAAACCTATGTACCTTTGAGCACATCTAAAGTAACTACTGTACTCTTCGTTGCTGGGGGAAATTACCCCAGATTTAGTGGCATAAGCAGCAAACGGCTGTTACCTTATTGCCTGTGGGTGGCGGCTCAGGTGTGGCTTTGTGGGTGCTTGCACCCCCGCTTTCTCAGGCATTGGTCCTGGTGCAGGGAGCTGAGCTCCCTGGGCGGGATGGACTGCGCGGTGGCCCACTCAGGCCCCCGCCGCCGAGAGCCTGGGTATCTCGGTAGGCCGCTTTCTTTCTTGTCTGTTTTGCTTTTAGTACCACATTGAAAAACCATTTTCTAACCCTTGGTCACGGATGTTTACTCCTAAAAGTTTCAGTGTTATCTCTCTACATTTAAGTGTCTGATCCACTGTGAGTGAAGTTTCGTGTGTGGTGAGGTCGGGGTCGAGCCTCACCTTTTGTTGGGTATCCAGTTGTCCCACATCATGCGCTCTCGGTTGTTTCTCCGCAGAATTAGGTGGGTGTCTCGGTTAAAGATCACTGACCGTAAACGCAGACTGTCTTCTTGTGATCTCATCTTGGACATGGCACTGTCGCTCGGTCCTGTGCTCACTAGCAGCGGGTTGCTGAGCCATCTCTCGGTCACAGGGGTTGGCGTCCTCCCTTGGAAGAAAGAGTGTCAGTTCGGGGGGCCTGTTGGAAAGCTGTGACAGTAGGGAGTCCAGAGTATGAAAGAAACAAATCTCTGCTGTGAAGCGTCAGGTCAGGCTCCAGGGCAGACAGCTGGGGTTGGTAAGGACTGCTGGGATTCCACACGAGCGCTGTGTTCTCAGTTGGGGACACCCATTGGACAGTCCCGGTGTCTTTCAAGTCCAACGGTAAAGAGCCCTGGGCAGTGTGAGAGGGGTTGCTCGTGACGAGAGGAAGCTCCTCACTGTCAGTGCCCGCTGGGGCTCGCAGCAGCCGGACGCAGCCTCTACCCTCACTGAGGCCTGGCGCTTCCGGCCTTGTTTCGCGGTGCATGTGCGGATCATCAGCCTCTGGGGTGCAGGCCCCCTGCCCAGCCCCTCCACCTGCCCAGCCCCTCCATCATCAGCCCCTCCATCATCAGCCTCTGCCCGCAGCCTCTGGGGGTGCAGTCAGCGTCTTCTCTCCTGCTCCAGCCTTTAATGTAGCGTGCTTTTCTCTCGGGCCTTTGTTTTGTCTTCATGGATCATTTTTTAGCACTGTTCAGACATCAGGGTAGTGATCCTCTCCTCTGAGCCCATGCCGCTGCCCACAGATGGCGCCATCCCTGCCCACCTCCTTCACTCTCTCGAGTGCCCGCAGCCGCGGCTGTGTTCTGCCCGAGCTGCGCCGGGCCCGGTGTCAGTGACTGTGGTGCTGAGTCCTAGGCCCCTCAGAGCCTTTGCAGTTGCTCTTTCTGCCCTCTGGGGAGCGCTTCCTTGCGTGTCTTCCTGGGAACCCTCTGTCCCGTTCTCCTTCTCATCCATCTCTTTTTCTGCCGTCCCTGCCAGTCCCGCGTCTCCTGCTGGCTCCAGCCAGCTCCCGCTCACTGCCGCTGGGCTGCTTCCCACCCTGGCTCGGGGTGCAGGCCCCCTGCCCAGCCCCTCCACCTCAGCCACGTTGCCCTGCTTGTTTCTGACGCACACGAAGCCACTCTTCCTCTTTCCCTCCTCCTCCCTGGGCGTGCTGACTTCTCTGTGCGGCCTCGGCCCCGCCGTCCCTCCCGATGCTGCCTCTGCTGGCGGCCCCCACCCTGTGTACCGCTCATCTGCCCCAGCCCGTCTGCCGGGTGCCAAGGTGTGGAGGCACGGCCTCCTCTGTTTCGTTTCGCAGCTGGACTCAGCGTGAGGGTGTTGAATCCATTTCTAAAAATTAGCAGACAGGCAAATAAGAATCTTAAACCACACATGTGGCTGAAGGTTTCCACTTCATACGGTGGTCCTGAGTTAGAAATGCTGGCTGAGCCTGACGCATAACCGTAAAAGCCCTTGTGCAGCGGCCCAGCCTTCCGCGTGCCGGGGATGAGCTCCTGCCCTGGCGTCCGAGAGCAGAGTCCGGGATCAGCCTCGCTCCATGCTTCTCTCCTGCTGCTTTTGGTGACCTTGTACCAGGCAAGGCTTCAGGAACCGTTCCCTACGGAGCATAGCAGGAACTGTAACAGGGCAGAACGAAGTCCATCTGCTCTCTCGGAGAGCCCTGCTGACTGCGGTCACAGTGAAGCCACAGCCCCAGTGTGTCTGCTGACTGCTGCCAGACACAGGAGCTGTGATCACCGCGCATGCCGTCCACTTCCCCAGGTGCACATGAGCTAGAGCAGATGCAGCTGATCCTGGAGTCCATCCCTGTGGTGCACGAGGAGGACCGGCAGGAGCTGCTGAGCGTCATCCCCGTCTACATCCGGAGTGACATGACCGAGCCGCACCGGCCCTTGACACAGCTGCTGCCGGGAATCGGCCGAGAAGGTAGTGCCGCTTTCGGGCACAGGCGTGCATGGATGCCTTTGCACGTGCATGTGGGGGGGTGCATGTGTGTGCACGTCTGTGCTTTGTGCAGAGTCTCTAATTAGGACACGCTTCCTCCCCTGCAGTCCGCACAGGCTCTCAGGTGGCCTCGCCCTGTCCTCTCCCTCCACCTGGCCGATAGGTGGGGCTGCCTCACTGCCCCTCGAGTCACTTCAGGTCCCAGGCAGGGCCCCTGCTGCTCCCCTCCCGGCTCCAGGTCATGGGTCTTGCTAAGCTCAGGTGTGGGGCGCGTGTGGTAGTAAGTGGGTGTGAGCGGGAATAGCCGAGGTGTGCGGGAGAGAGAGGAGCGGGTGGAGTGGCTGAGTCAGCGCACGGGGCTGTGTGAGGGGCACAGTGCTGGGTGTGTAAGTGTAGGAACAGGAGGGCCGTGGAAGCTGCTCATCACATCTCGGGGTGATCCAAGCAAGATGCAGGCCTTTAACTTGCCTGGTGGTTGCCTGTAATAAAGAGGAACTGCTAGAGAGCACATGTCTTTTGCTAGTGGGAGGCAGGTTTAGCAAGTACACAGGAGGGGCTGGGACCTGGTGGTGGTAGAGCCTGTGCCCAGCGTGTGTGCTCTGCATTTGCAAGCTGCCTTTGGCCTGGTGTCTCATGCACCGTGTGGGGGCAGTTTAGTGACCTAGCAAGGCCCTTGTTTCAAAAAGATAGAGAAGAGCTAAAAATGCAGCTCAGTGTGAAGACCCTGGGTTCCATTCTAGTGCTGCGGGGAAAAACAAAACAAGGAGTTTGGGGTAACACCCTAAACACCCTAACCTTACTGCAGGTTATACACCCGTTATGCATATCACCCACTCCCAGTAGTAGTAGTAGTAGCAGTAGTCGGCCAGGCTGTCCTTGCGCTCACAGTAGTGCTGCCTCAGTCTCCTGAGTGAGAGGATCACAGGTGTGCAGCAGCACGCAAGGCTCCTCACTCTGTTATACATGGTTCAGGTTGATATTTGTCCAAGTGTATAAAGTAGCCAGGATTTTGAAAATGGGCAGTTTTTAATTTTTCCTCAAATACACCTGGAACTTTGCCTTTATTTGACCGTTCTTGACTGAGAAAAACCAGTTTCATGTGGTTAACTTAACACATGCCTTTATTACCTGGCCTTGGTCTTTATACCTGGCCCGAGATGAGATTGGAGAACATTGCAGGTATTTGTGTTGGTGGAAGAATATCTTTTTAATCCATTGGGTAGGTGAGTTAGCTTCATTCTTTTGACAAAGATGAGCTCCCTGTTGGGGAACTGGCCTGCTCGCCCTGTGGCGTGCTGGCCGCGGTGTAGCGAGCGGCGGCGAGCTCCGCGCCGGCCCGTCCTTGCGTTAGTGAGAGTCACACTGACAGCTTTCTGCAGATGACCAGCTCTTCCCCCAAGACCGACACCTCTTTCTCTCGCAGCCTTGGACTTCCTGGAGCAGATCCTGACCTTCAGCCCCATGGACCGGCTGACGGCGGAGGAGGCCCTGTCCCACCCGTACATGAGCATGTACGCCTTCCCCACCGACGAGCCCATCTCCAGCCACCCCTTCCACATCGAGGACGAAGTGGATGACATTCTGCTCATGGACGAAACTCACAGCCACATTTACAACTGGGAACGGTAAAGGGAACCTGGGGCAGAAACAGAATGATTGTGGAGTTCCCAGGGACCCGCGCGGGGCACGTGTCCGTCTCCGTGGGACAGTGGGTTCCTTTAGCCTTTATGCAGCGTAAATACGAAACAGTCACTGAGTAGGAAACAGATCGCAGGAAAAGTTACATGCTGCTTTTGAAATAGTCACGAAGGCACATTAATAAAATTATAAGGTCCTTAAATGAGGAGGGTTTGGAAATCTGAGCTGGGGGGGTATGGATGTGTACTGGGGATTGAACCCAGAGAGGGTGGACTTTATCCCTAGGCTTTATTCTAATTTTTAAATTAAAAAAATATATATTTTTAGGCAGGATCTCACTAAGTTGTCCAGGCTGGTCACAGACTTGTGATCCTCCTGCCTCAGCCTAGAAATCTGAACATTTTAAGCTGCGGGCTTGAAGAGTGTCACGCTGGTGGGTGTGGTCCCACAGCACGTAGTCTCGCTCTGCTGGGGTGCAGCTGGGACTAGGACGGCTCTGCTGCGGCTCTGGCGTGTGCCACGCTGGTTAGGTCGGAACAGAAACCCCTGTTATCTCTGGTGGTGACAGTCGATCTGTTTCCTCGGTGGTATTGAAGTAATTTCAGGGTACTTACTGCAGGGTCCGTAGAGGAACTTGTCTGGTCTGAGAAGCATGACGTGGAGCAGACAGCATAAAATGAGGGGCTCTCTTCCCTCAGCTCTTTTATGGTTCTGGCTTCCTGGGAGAAGTTGAGGCATAAAATTCTGCGGCAGATAGAGAGTCACCTGTAGGAAAGAACTAGGGTTAATTCAGAATCTTCAGCTAGCAAGGATTGGCGGTCACTAATGAGTTTCTCAGATTGCGTATATTTTTACATTTACTTGTTTTTTGTCCTTTTGAGGCAGGGTCTCACTGTGCAGTTCAGGCTGGTCTTGAACTCATTTTGTAGCCCAGGCTGGTCTGAACTCACAATGATCCTCCTGCCTCAGCCTCCCAAGGGCTGGGATTATAGGCGTGCACATCCAGCCCAGCTATTTTTATGTTTAAAAAGAAAAGTTTGTCAGTCTCAGAAGTAGTTGTTTCCTCTCCTAAGGGGTGGTAGTTGTGCTCATGCACACCTGCCGGCTGCCTCTCCCCCGTGCAGCTGAGTTTCCCAGCCCCCCTGCCCGCAGTCTGTCCCCGGTGGGCGTGGCAGGTCAGGCACCTTCAGGGCTGCATCTGGAGAGGCTGTTGTCCTGCGGCAGTGGAGTCGGGAGCCCCCCTCACTGCCTGTTAGCCGCCGTCCGTAGTGTGTGGGTACAGATGAAAGGTAGACGGAGAAGTGCGCCGTGAGAGAAACAGTGTCGCTTGTATTGGGAGGGAAGGGCTCGGCTCCTTGTGAGATGGGTTTCTCGCCCTAGTGACCCAGCTCTGCTCCCCACATGCCGTGTGGCGACGGCTCCCATCCACGAGGGGCTGAGTCGCGGTGGGGTGCTGGGGCCTCCTCCTCCAGTCCCCATGGAGTGGCACAGTCTCTCACAGAAGGGCCCCAGTGCACTGGGAATGAAGTTGCGCCCCAGGAATGACGCCGCTGTCCTCTCTTTCCAGGTACCATGATTGTCAGTTTTCAGAGCACGATTGGCCCATACACAACAACTTTGACATTGATGAAGTTCAGCTGGACCCCAGAGCCCTGTCTGACGTCACTGATGAGGAAGAAGGGCAAGTGGACCCTCGGAAGTACTTGGATGGAGACCGAGAGAAGTACCTGGAAGACCCTGCTTTTGATGCCAGCTACTCTGCCGAGCCTTGCTGGCAGTACCCGGACCACCATGAGAACAAGTACTGTGAGCTGGAGTGTGGCCACACTTGTAACTACAAAGCGCGGTCGTCGTCGTACTTAGATAGCTTGGTCTGGAGGGAGAGCGAGGTGAACCATTACTATGAGCCCAAACTTATCATAGATCTTTCCAACTGGAAGGAGCAAAGCAAGGAGAAGCCCGACAAGAAGGGCAAGTCCAAGTGCGAGAGGAATGGGTTAGTGAAGGCCCAGATAGCACTGGAGGAGGCGTCCCAGCAGCTGGCGGAGAAGGAGCGGGGCAAGGGCCAGGGCTTTGATTTCGATTCCTTTATCGCAGGAACTATTCAGCTCAGTTCACAGCATGAGCCCGCCGATGTCGTGGACAAACTGAACGACCTGAATAGTTCTGTGTCCCAGCTAGAGTTGAAGGGGCTACTCCCCAAGTCAGTGAGCCGGGAGAAGCAGGAGAAGGGCATGGCCAACCTGGCCCAGCTGGAGGCGCTGTACCAGTCGTCCCGGGACGGCCCGTTTGGGGGAGGCGGGGAGGAGCGGTTCCTCATCGACCAGTTCTGCTGCGAGGTGAGGAAGGACGAGCAGGTGGAGAAGGAGCACTCGTACACCAGTTACCTGGACAGGTTCTTCAGCAGGAGGGAGGATGCCGACCTGCTAGACGCGGAGCCGGCTGAGGCTGGGAGCCGGGGGGAGCGGGGCGGCGGGGAGGGCTTTGTGCTGAGCAAGCAGCTTGAGTGCAGGGGCCTCGCGCAGCTGCACAGCCCCGCGGGGTCCCCCCGGAAGGCAGTGCCGGCCGGGAAGGCGTCCCCGCACGTGCCCCCACGGACCTACAGCCGCATCCTGAGACATCTGAACTAAACACTCAGCAGACCTTTCTGTGTTCCTCATGAAATGCGTCTTGTCTTTTTTATTCCTAGTGTTTAAGTCATTTTTTTACTTGAATCAGATGGTGTCCTTTAGTAAGGATTTTATCAGTTCTCGGTTTTTAAAAATCCAGACTTTTTTTCTACATGTGAGATCGTTTTCATTTTACCTGGCATGTCGTTTGCACACAAAGAATCGAGCAAATAATGCAATGCAGGAAGAGAAAAGAAATGCACTAAGACCAGTAAACACATTCTCTCCTAGAACAGTGATCTGTTTTACAGGAACAAAACTCTTGCCTTGAAATTTACACAGTGAGACTGTACAGAACTGCATGGAAATATCTATTTTTTTCCTAAAACATTTTTCATCCATTAGTATTTTCAAGTTTTTCATACTGTACACATTTCTTAAAACACATGATACCAGCAGCAACTGAAAATGAATGCCGAATTTGGTACACATGTGTTATCTACCTCAAGGTAACAGACGTATGTGGCGAAACCCTCACGACCCATAGTGCTTCACGGTGTGGCTTGTGCTCAGCCAGCGCCCACGCGGGAGCCATTTGTTCTCGAAACCGTTCGTGTCTGTGCGCGTCCTGGTGTTCATTCTTTGGAGTGAAGTGTTGATACATCACATCTTATTTATTTTAGCAAAGCAGTATATTTTCTGTATTTAATGATAAAAGTTAACTTAGTTTTTAAAGGTTTATTTGCAACTACACTTTATGCATTTGGCACTATGGTTTGTCGCCTCTGTAGCTGAAGTCGTCCGTCAGCTTCGCCCAAGGCTGTCTCCACGTACTGAAGTGTTCGTTTGACATAAGTACTCACTGTGTATAGGAATTTGTATTTTGGAGGTGCTTGATCTATCTACAAAGAAAAAATTAGGAATTACTTTATTACAAAATGCTCCTAGAAGTCTTAATTGTGTTTATTTTTTAAAAAGGTGTAATGTTAGACTCGTGTGCATGGAAGTAATTAAGGTACATCATTATTGTAGTTTAACAGTTGTACATGGTAAGACACTTTCTGTTTTTACTGTATGTTTTTACTGAATGACCTACTCCTTGTCCCAAGGCAAGCATGAATAAAATTAGGTTCAGTGTAGCATGTGGCATCTCAGTCTCTTAACCTTTGTTTCATCTGTTTTATTTTCCTGAATACTGTCTGTATCCTTGGCTAAATAAAACTTGCCCGGCACACACGGCTCCTGTCTCGCTCTCCGCGCAGTGGCAGGGCCTGCTCGAAGGAGTGGTGGTCATGCCGCAGCTCCTGGGGTGGTGGGGTGAGTGGCTGGTCTGAAGGACTCCATGCACAAGCTCTCTGTGGGCTTCACCCACGAAGGGAATTTGTATATTTCAGAACCATCACACAAGCTGTGTGGAGGCGGAAGCAGAGCCTCTGCTGGCTCTGCTCTGCACCGCCCAGGCTCTGTGCAGCCTTCTTCCTCCGCCTGCTGCAGCCTTGCCCGGCCCTGCCCGGCCCCGGCCCCGCCCTGCCCGGCCTTGCCCTGCCTGGCGGGGTCTGCGAACCAAGGCTTCACCTGCTCAGCTCCACCCCTTCTCCCCGGGCCGCAGCTTTTAGGAAGTGCAAATCCTCTGCACACGCACACCGTCCATCCGGAGCTGTGGCTCTGAACACAAACTTGGATGACCCTAAACCAGAGCATTGCCCTGCAGGGGTGAAGCACTGCGTGGGAGCGGGAGGAGAGGACAGGAAAACTGGGCTGTGTGGTTGGAACCAGGGAGCACTCGAGGGACCTGCAGGAAGCCAACCCCACGCGCGGTGGCTCCGTTCGGTCTTCCTGTCCATCGCTGGCTTCAAGCCGCGTCCCAGTGTGGAGGACCACCCGGGCAGCTCTCCTCCTTGGAAGAAGAGCATTTGGCCCTAATTCTGTGCACTGGTATGTACAGAGCTGGCTGGGACACTTCCTTACCTGCTCAGCTGGCTTTGAGCAATGCAAGTGGGTCCAGCCGAGGTGCTGATGTGTAATCTTTAAAGCGGTGGACAGGTCAGTGATGCCCCCTACAGCTGCCAAGTGACGTGTGAGCAGGGCTGAGAGACCCACACTGTCAGCCTTGAGAAAAGAGGCGATGACTTCTCGGGGCTTCAACGTTGGACTTCAAAACGGAAGCCCCAATCTGTGATACGCAGATTACCCTTTCTGCAGATTCCTCTCTGCGCACTGCCGAGGTGCTCTCAGGCCTGCTCCCTGGCCCAGCTCAGGCACTCACCTACTTCCCGCCGCTCGCGCAGTCGCTCATCCTGAGCCACTCGCCTCTTCACGAGTTGGTAAAACCCGGGTTCGGCCCTGGGTCGAGGCCTCCGCTCCGGTTAGCCATTGTTCTGACTGAACCTAGGACCCCTGGGCTCCCCACAACTACAAATGTGCCTTAGTGTCTTTATTCTCGCCGTGCATTGCATTGCAAGTGGTAGATTGGGATGAACTTACTGGGATTCCAGTATCCTTTCCGTGGGATTACAGATGGGGACTTTGCTGGACCGTGCCGAGGTCCAGAAGGGCTCTCTATACCCAAGGCACCTGGCGCTTCGCCCTCGCTGCTGTCCTGGCAGCACCGGCGTTGGCCGCAGTCTGCCTCGTTAGCCACTGCACATCTTTTTAAGCCTGAGGAGGGAGAGGGCGGTGAGGGCTGATGCTGTATGTGTGTACACCCCACTTCTAGACACCGCGAGGAATTAGATGGTGAAGGGGGTTTCCCACAAGACCTGCAGTTTTTCCTTTGCTTTTTTTTTTTTTCTTTAGAGCAAGCAGTGGGGGCCTGGGACCAACAGTTGTTCACTGGGAGCAAAAGGCCTCAAGGCGGCCAGAACCTCGGCATTTATGGACTGAGGAAGGGTAACAGGGTGGTGGTGATCTTAAACTTCCGAGGATCTTGCTCTGGGGGTCTCTAGTCTTAGGTGGGAGAGGATGGCCTGCCCCCGATGCGATAATGGGGTTCCTTTCCTTTTTTAGCCCCTCCCTTTTTTGCCATCCCAGTGTCTTGTTCCAGGGTAAAAGATGATACGCTTTTGAAGAAACGTTAGTGTTTACAGTGCTAGAGCGATCACCTGAGACTAAAATATGCGTGGCATGGGGGTGAGGGACACAGCTCCCTGTGCGAACACCAACGTGTGCATTTAACCTCTGACCTCTGAAAAGCTCACTGGTGCCTCAGCTTCCTGAGTGCCAGGGTAACAGGCGTGCGTCACCGTGCCCGGCCCATCCTTAGTTCTTAGGGATGCGTAAGAGTGCCTTACAGGACATAGCCAGAAGCAGGGTGCTGAGTGCTGAGTGCATGTCCGCAAGTCTGATTCTGCCCCTGCCCGTGTGCAGATCCGTGCCCCACCCTCCTGGCCGCTGAGTCTCTGTCCAGCCCTGCTGACCTCGCAGTGCCCAGGTTCGCCTGGCAGGAGTCTGAATGTCTAATTAGGCGCATCTGATGACAAAGTCACCCCTGCCCCCCAGGGGCCCCGCAGCCCCTCCCCTCGGGCGCAGGGCAGAGTCTTCCAGGCAGAGTCAGGCACGGCCATGCCCCGCAGTTGACACTTCCTATGTGTGACAGTCCTGGGGGGTGCAGCTTGGGGCAGCACTCTTGCCTGGTGTGGGTGAGGAGCGAGGTTTGAGTCCCAGCGCCGTGCACAAAGCAAGACCATGAAGGAGCTGAAGATTCCCCGTCCCCTGGTGACCTCGAAGGCTGGTAACGTCGGCGTGGCACGTGACGCACTTGCCGGGCTGGTGTGAGCCCGCAGGCCCAGCCCTCGGGAGGAGCTCCCGGGTGGTCGTGTGCAGCGCAGTGCTTGAGAGAAACAGCTCACTCATATGTGTATATTTAAAATTAATATACATTTAATATAAAACATACAAAAATTTTAATATATATATATATATATATATATATATATATATATATATTTTTTTTTTTTTTTCCGTACGGGGGCTTGAACCCCGGGCCTTTCCACTGAGCTACGTCTCCAGCCCCTTTTCTGTTTGATGCTGAGACAAGACCTCATTACAATGTTAAATTGGCTAGGCTGGCCTTGAACGTCCAGTCCTGCCTCAGCCTCCCGGAGTGTTGGGGTCACAGATCTGCACCCCCACACCCAGCTCTCTCTAACCGCAGCACGTTCTGCTTATAGAAAAGGCTTGTGGTGGGACAGCACGCTGTTACACAGCAGCAGCGCGGACTCCCTCATTCCTGAGTCTCACTGGAGGAGGCCGGGCCGAGCCGCCGGCACCGCGAGCCCTTGTGCGGCTCAAGGAGGCCTGACCGCGTGTGAGGCCCCTGAGTGAGGAGGGGGCCGCGGGAATCAGTGCTTCCCACACAAGACTCCGACCCCTCTGCTTCAGGCTGAAGGCGTGTTGGGTCCCGTCGTTATGACAGCGCTCGATCCCGAAGTGTCTTCTGGGCCGAGGCCGAGGCGACTGGGCCCTCAGCGAGACGGGGCGAGCCTCACGCGCTGTCCTGCGCAAGGAGCAGGTGTCCGTGCCAGACGGCAGTCGGACTGCCCTGCACCCTGCGCCGCTCAGGCTGGCACTGCCCCTTCCTGTCCAGCATCCTCCGAGTGCCGAGAAAGGGCATGGGCTCTGGGCATGGGGCTCGGAGCTCGGAACCCAGCTGTGCCCTGCCCGTCCTGTCTCCAGACTCATTTAATCAGATGCGTTGTGTGGCCCCACGGTGGCCTCAGCTGACGGCTGCACAGACCCCGCTTCTGAGACATCTGTGTATCCCTTTCACATGCAGGCAATGCGGCAGCGCTCAGTGTGCCTTCCCGTCAGCTGGCAGAGCAAAGGAGCGTCGGCCCGGGGTGCTGTCCTCCCGAAGAGCGGCACGGCCTGGCAGCTCCTTCCTTCCGGCCGGGCAGTGCAGAGGCCCTGGGGTCACCGCCTCCCAGCCTGGGAAGCGGGGCGCCTCGCCACCTGTGTCAGTTGCCCCCTGGTTCACAAAATCTCACTGGTTTTGCTTCCTCTGAGAACCCCGGGCACTGTGAGCGTCCCCGAGCAGGGCTCTCCTTGCATCCTGGTTGTTGGTCTAGAAGCTTCGTTGCCCACAGGCCGTGAGCGTGGACACGGGTCCGATGGGAGCCGCTGCTCCTCTTGTCCCCAGCCGACTGCTTCCGGCCAGGCTTGAGCCGAAAGTCCGGTTCCTGGCCGCGGCCACCACTTCAGGACGCAGGCCCTGCGCTGAGGCCCCTGCGGCCTCGGCTATGCGCTGCCCTGGCCCCCTGCCGCCCACTGTCCCTGCTCCTTGCCGCTCCACGCCCCTGCCTGACAGGCCCAGCGCAGGTGGCCTTCTGGTCCCCACACACGGGGTTCACTTCCATTTTCTGGATTGGCCAGGGGGCAACTGGGTTGTCCCCGCCTCACCCCCGACGAGCCCAGAGCCCGGGCGCCGCTTTCTGCCTGCTTCCGTGCAAGCCTCTGTTCCAGGGCCACCTGTCACAGCGGGGCCTGCTGAGTGCCCGCACAGCAGTGCCCCGCCCCGTGCCTGGATGGGGCAACGCGGACCTGTCGCAGCCTGCGTGCAGGGCACCTTTCTTCCTCCGCAAGTGCACGCTCCTGGGGGTGCCTCCTCCCGGGTCCCCACGCTGAGCTCGGCCTGGCAGGGAAGGCATGAGGGAAGCTAGCGCCACCCCCGTGCTGGAGTGGTAGCGTGAGGTTTGCTTGCTGCAGGGATCCGGTAGGGTGTTCCTAGCGCTCCATTTTCTAGAATTTGCAGGGGATCTGTGACTTCGGGGGACCTTAGAGGGGACCCTTGGAACCTCACACTAAGTCGCAGAGCCACGCAGCTAGCCGTTCTCGGGAACGCCGAGTCCAGTCTGGCTGGCTTCTGATCTTTGCATTTCACATGTGGGTGCAGCTCAGGCTGGCAGGCGCTGTGCTCCTGAGTCAGCGCTGCTGGCTCCCGTCCCCCGCCTGGGGTGGCTGCACCTGCCCGGGCTCCACGAGGCAGCCGTGACCCAGTTAAGACAGCCCCATGTGGCTCGTTTCCTGTTCATCCTGGCAACGAGCCGGGCCCAGGATACTTGTCCAGTCCGGGATCCTCGGTAACAAACCCACCTTTGCTGCCCTTGACAGAGAGTCCGTTTTCAGGGTCCAGGGTGACTCAGGGGCTGAGAATTGGGTGTCAGCGAGAACCAGGTCCAGGCTGGGGGCGGGGATGGGCGCCAGCGGCCGGAGGAGGACTGCTTCGCTCCAGTGC